CCACTATACTGTCTGTATGCTGTCTCTGACTCCCTCCACCCAAACCAAGGTGGGTGCCTTGGTTCTTTCCATCCCAGAGAGAACATAGAGGGTGTCAGTGTAAAGACAGGCAAAAGATTCAAATCTAGAGAAAGAGCTGAACCACTTTGTGTCATGGTTCCCTATGGAAATCTAGTGAAGCCTGTGAGCCCTTTCTCAGAAAGTCTTTAAATGCATAAAATAAAAATGTAAGATTACAAAGGAAACCAAAAATTAGCAAAAATAAAGATCTAATCTTTCCATCTAAATTCACAGACCCCCTGAATTCTATCCAAGCATTCTTTGGGGATCTGTGGACACCAGGTTAAGAATCCTTTGTGTAGAGGAATGGTACTCCTTGGGAACCTAGATCTGAAATAATAGGCTATCAACACAATTAGAGAAATAGCATCTGAGATTCAGTTGTCCCCTTTCATCACCATGTCAATCCACCAAACATTCATCTATTGAGTGAGTATTTGTGGGCACCCATCATATACAAGAGAATATGCTATAGCTTGATGAACAATTCAAAGATTGTCCTACCCTCTAGAAGGTCATGGTCTAATTGGAGAGCCAAGATTAACACACATAAAAAGATAACTGAAAATACAAAGCACTGAACAGTGCCAACGTCAATGGTACATGAGTGCTAGAAGTTCATTCCTGTGGTTTGGAATTGGCTGGAAAGGCTTTTCTGGGAAGGGGAGTTTTTACCTAGGTCTTAAAGCATGGGTCAGATTCAAGATATGATGAAGAGGATAAAGATGGCTAAAGAATAGAGTTCATAGAGGGGGGCTCATGGGGGACAAGGCTGGAAAGGTAGGCTGGAGGAAGATTATCTAGAACCATGAATGTTAGCAGCAAATTCTTTTCATCAGTCCTCCAGAAATCTCCAAACCCATTAACATGTTGGTGGCTGTTCTCAGAGAGAGAGGAAAATAGTCTTTCCATCTGTTTTCTACACTAGCCAAAGGAAAATGTTCCATCACCTTCTCCCCACAACTACTCCCAAAAGGTAGTGGAGTTGAGAGTTTGTGATACGTCCTGTTCATCTGAAGCCTTGATAGGAAAGATGTAGATCATGAATTTAGAGGAGGAAGTCATCTTATAGTTCATTTAGTCTAAAACTCTGCATTTTATAGATGAAGAAACAAAGGCCCAGAAAGTTTGAGTGAATCACTTGCCCAAGGTCCTACAGATAATAAATGCAGGGCCAGGATTCCATACTACAGAGAATAAGGGCCCGGATGGAGCAGTAATGTGAAGGATTCAGGACAATAAATTCACAGTCTAACAATTTACGCTACAAACTCCCTCCACCCCCATCAGACTAGATCTCCTGAGAACAAGCTTCTACACAATCGCAAAGCTCAGGATACTCCCTGGGTCAAGGCCCTCCGGCCCCTAGAGATGCCCACAGGGTCCCCGAGATGCCTTTGGTTCTCCTTGGCTTTCCAGTTGGCCCAGTGCCCCACCTGGCTCCAGCCCAGTGCCTGTGAGTCAGCTGATCAATTCCAATGTTGCCAGGACAACTAAGGGAAGAGGCCCTGGGGAGCTGGCAAGGGTGGGCACTGCAGGCGGGCAGGCTCCTAGCCTCTGGCACCTGGACATGGCTGAAGCACTATTATTGGTAGGGCAGGGAATATGGGGCTGGGATTTCTCTTTTCTTCCTCCATTTTTCCTCCCTTCTAACTGCCCCTCCTCCTGCCCCCAACCTTCTCCTGGGACATTTTTCTAACTAGAGACTTGGGCAAATATTTAAAGGGGCAGTTGGAGGGTTGGGGACGAGGAGCAAACAATCTACCCCTCTCCTTCTTCCTCTCCTTCAAAGCCCTGCTGAAACCTCTTAGGCCTTCTCAGGGGCCTGGAATCCAATTAGTTGCACAACCTCTAGGGCCTGAGTGTACTCTAGTTGGAGGTCATGGATAGGGGAGATGTGCACTTGAAGCGGAGGGAATACGGTGTCAATTTTTAAATCTAAAGAGAATCCAGTAGTGGTTGGATTAGGGAAGGTAAGGGATAGGAACTGGGGGAAAGGCCTGGAGTTTAGAAAACTGGATGGCTGGGAAGCAATTAAAGATGCCAGAAAAAAAGAGGTGAGGTGTGAGGGGGTGTTAGGGGAGGGGCAGGTTTAGGACTGGGGAAAATACGCAGAGGACTCTAGGGGGAGAATTGAGATGCAGTGACAAGAAACCAGCCACCCTGGGACAGGAAGGCTAGGAGGCGATTCGGAAGATAGGAACATGCCAGTCAATCAATCTCTTATGCTAGGTACTCTTGGGGGTATGGAAACATAAAAATAATTGCTCACATTAATATAGTGCTTTAAGGTTCGCAAAATACTTCTCTCTTTTGTGCCCCATAATAACCCCGTGACGTGGGTGCTGTTATGATCTTCATGTCACAAATGAGGAAATTGACACTCAGGGCAAGTAATTTGCTTATGGTAAAACAGCTGGTAAGCAGGATTGGAATCTAGGGCTTTCTGACTTCCTCAACTTCACCACAAAGCCATGCCAGAGGCTAGTACAGCCCACATATATTGATTCACCCCAGAAACCCTGACCTGGAGCAGCCAGAGGGGTGGGGAAACAGGGGACCTATAGGTTAACATAGAGGTCTCCCCACCTGACTCCTGGCTATCCTTCAAGGCCCAAGTTAGGAAGGCCTCCCCTGCTGATCTTACCCTCCTCTCAACTCCTTTACCACTTACTGATTGGGACAATCATTGGTGCTATTTCATATTGAAAGTTATCTCCGTGTGTGTGTGTGTGTGTGTGTGTGTGTGTGTGTGTGTGTGTGTGTGTGTGTGTGTGTGTGTGTGTGTGTGTGTGTTCCTTCCAAGCTGGGCTCCTTGACAGCAGAAATTCTGTTCTCCCTCCTTCATACCCTTTTTAGCACATAGCAGCACAGAGCATAGCAGATATGTGATAAACTCTGCCCCTCTAATATTAGACATGTGAGATAGGATCTGAGAAAGAAAGCCTGAGGTAGTAGAAGCAGTGGTAGACTTAGAGTCAGAAGACATGAATTTGAGTCTTGGCTCTGATATTTACTGATATTTACTGAGGTGGCTCAGTGGATAGAACATTAGGCAGAGAGTCTGAAAGACCTTAGTTCAAATCCTGCTTCAGATAATTACTAGCTGTGTGATCCTGGCCAAGTCACTTAGCTGCTGTCTGCCTCAGTTTCCTCTTCTGAAAAATGGGGATAATAATTGTACCTACTTCTCAGGATCGCTACGAGGATAAAATGAAATAATGTTTATAAGATACTTTGCAAACCTTAAAGTGTTGTATAAATGCTAGCTGCTGGTACTGCTGCTGTTGCTACTACTGCAACTACTACTATTTCTGCTACTACTACTACTATTTTTACCACCACCACCACTACTATTACTGCCACTGCTACTAGTACTAATACTAGTAGTACTGTTACTACTAATGCCACTACTGCTACTGCTACTACTACCACTGCTATTGCTACTACTACTGCTTTTATTACTACTACTTCTACTACCACAGCTGTTGCTATTGCTACTATTACTTCTACTACTGTTGCTGCTACCACCACCACCACCACTAGTATTATTACTGCCATTGTTACTAGTACTAGTACTACTACTTCTGTTACTACTACCACTGCTGCTACTGCTACTACTACTACTGCTACTGCTGCTACTATTATTTCTATTACTACTGCTGCTGCGGCTGCTACTACCACCACTACTGCTATTGCTACAATTACTACTTCTACTTCTTCTATTACTACTACCACTACTACTACTGCTACTACTACTACTACTACTATTACTATAATATCTACATGAGTCTCAGTTTCCTCTTTTGCAAAATGGGGATAATTGTACCGGCACTGCCTAGCTCATAACCGTTTACATAATCTTTCCTTTAAGGGATTATTTAGAGGGCTCATAGTCTAGTTGGGGAACGAACAGTAAAAGGGGAATTTAGAGTCTTAAAGAGCAGGAAGGATTTGGATTCCCAGGATGGTAAGATTCAGACCTTAGATTGCATCCAATGTAAGCAAGGAGGCCCAGAGCAGGGAAGTCACTGGCCCAAGGTCACACTGGAAGTAAGTAGCAAAGGAATGATTCAAACCCATTATCTTGTGACTCTAAATTCAGGGCTCTTTCCATTATATGCAGGTGGCTTCATTACTGTAGGAAAAGCTCAGTGTTGAATGACCGAGTAAAGTCAGGAGGAGGGTGAGCAGGGAATAGGCATGGTGGAGGTGGAGAGTCTGACCTATGTGGGGAACTTGGCACTTGGCTGAAACCTTTGCAACCAGCCTAATGCCAGGATAACACCCTCGTACCCAGTAGCACTTGTGGGTGCTGCTTCCCTTAGGGCAGGGGTGGGGAACCTTAGGCCTCGAGGCCACATTCAGCCTTCTAGATTCTTGGGTTCGGCCTTTTCACAGAGTCTAAGTTTTACAGAACAATTTGTTCTGTGAGGTTTGGATTCAGTCAAAAGGGCTGCACCTGAGGACCTAGAGGGCCAAAGCCACAGGTTCCCCACCCCTGCCTTAGGGACTGTGTTTCTAGAGCAAAGCCCCAGCGAGTTTGTGTGGGAGAAGAACAAATAGGGGAAATAACAGAAATCCAGCTGTGCCAGGGACCTGGCTGCCCAAGCCTCGGGACCCTGGAAGAACAGGGCAGTGCCCCACGGGCTGAAGAACAGAGGCAGTTGCCAACAGGAAGGGTAGAAACAACAAAAGAGACACCCAAGGTAGGTGGAACACATTACTCAAGGCCAAGTTTACTCAGCTTGAACTTCAGGCTGATTTGCAGTGCCCAGGAAGGTTTTTGTGTCCTAGGATGAGGGCCCTTTAGGCACTCAAACTGAATTATCAGAGGCTTTGATTCTGGAGGGTCAGGAACAAACAGGCTTCAAAGCTAAGGGCTTGGCTTGGGTTCTGAAATGCATGGTCCAGCCACCTCCACTGTCTGCTGTAATATATAAGGTCCCTGGACCAGGAGGCTGGAGGTGTGAGGAAGAGGCAGAGCCTGAAGCAACATGGATGTGGGCACCAAAGAGGCTCTGATGGAGAGTGCACTGCCACCACCGGTAAGACAAGGTTTGGGGAAGATGAGAAAGGGCCGCAGCCAGGAAGCTCTAGTACAATGGGACTAAAGTCTCTCCACCAACAACCCACAAACCCATACCCTAGGCTAGCGCATCTCATGTACATTTGGTGAACCCAGAAGGGGTCACAGGGAATATGTGTCTTGGTGTAGGGCTCTTCTTACCTGACTCCTAGCCATCCTTCAAGAGCCAAATCAAATCCTATCTCCTCAATGTGGCCCTTCCCTGATTTCTTCTTCCTCTCAACTCCTTTACCACTTACTAACTGGGACAATCATTGGTGCTATTGCATATTGAGAGTTATCTCTGTGTGTGTGTGTGTGTGTGTGTGTGTGTGTGTGTGTGTGTGTTCTTAGCTGGACTCCCTGACTACAGAGATTCTGTTTTCTGCCTCCTTATCCTTCTCAGGACCTAGCAGTATAGTTCGAAGCAGGAATGTGATACATTCTTGGTGATTGGTCAATTAACACCTAGGAGATGTCTTTAGGAGTTTGCTTATGTAGGGTAAAAGAGCGGCAACCTCAGGGATAGGAATAGGATAGCAAAAAATCAAAAAGAAAAACAAGGATTTAGAAGGAAAGAAAAGAAGGGAAAAAAAGACATTAAAGGATCCTTTGTAAATATGCAGATAAAAGAACAGAAGGGAAATTAGAAAGCAGGGACAAGCAAAACAGCTTTGAAATGTACAGGCTGAATTGATCATATACTTTAAAAGAAATTGAGCTGTTTATAACAGCAATCTGTATTTTTGTGTGCAATTTTGGTTTTTTGTTCTACTGTCTATATGGAAATGCTTATCTTTATCTGGTGTTTTAAGAGTTTAGAATAAAGGCAATTTTTTTTAAAGAAAAAAAAGAATGGGCATCATTGCTCACTGACGTGAGTGGCCAAGTGGCAGTGGGGGTGGGGTAGGGAGTCTTCCAGTCACGATCCCTTTGACCATGATTTCCCTGGCCCCTCTTCCCATAACAGGACTACTCTGCCACCCCTCAAGGCCGGTTTAAAATACCCTGCTGCCCTCTGCCCCTCAAGCGGCTGCTCATCATCGTGGTGGTCGTGGTTCTGGTGGTGGTTGTGGTGCTAGGGGCCCTGCTCATGGGTCTGCATATGAGTCAGAAGCACACAGAGATGGTGAGGGGGTGCTGGAGGAGCAGGCAGCTTGGAAGTGGGCTGGCAGGAGGGGCAGGGAGGTCTGTGCAGGTGAAGCTTGGTTTGGGATGATTGGGTGGGCACTGTGAGCTGAAGATCATGGGGCTATTGAGAGGGATGAGCATGGAAGGTATGGGGTTTGGAAAGGCTGGAAGAATAGGCACAAAGCAGGGAGCAGAAAGAACAGACACCTTTACCAAGATAGCTTGATCTGATTAAAGAATAACAAAGTTGGCACCCTCCAACCCTCTCCACACCAGCCCAGGTGCTCTACTCAGTTCATTCTCTCTGCGTAGCATGAATGAGGTTGGCACTGCCCATAGACAGCTGGAGGCTATACTTGGAAAAAGGGATTGGGATTGGATAGGGATAAGGGAGGAAGAAGTCCACATGAAATAAGCAGGTCATGGCAGAACTGACAGACAGTCCAACTCTCTAGGTTCTGGAGATGAGCATCGGGGGGCCAGATGCCCAGCAGCGCCTGGCCCTCAGCAGGCGTGAGGGAACCATCTCTACCTTCTCTGTTGGCTCCTCTGGCACTGTGGTGTATGATTACTATCGGGTATGCAAGAGATGCCTCAGGGCTGGTGTTAGGTGGGGGGGTAAGGGTGGGGCAAGTCAATCACCACACTGACTAGTAGGTGGGGTTCCCCTATCTCTCGAGCATGTTTGGGATTTAGCTTAGGTGCAAACATGTCTGAACACCAGCCTCTACCTTTGTGCCCTCCTCCACACTTTATTCTGTGGTGGTCACCTGACCCTCCCTGAGCTCTTAGCTCCCAAAAGATCGGCAGGCTCTAATGCTGATTCTCACAGTCCACTAGATGGAGACTGAAGCTCTGAACCCTCAAAGCTTCTGGACTGAGGGTGAAGTTGTAGAGGAGGAAGAAACTTTCTTGAGTTGATTTTTTTCCCTTCCATGCTCAGCTTTTAATTGCGTATAAGCCTGCCCTGGGTGCCACCTGTTACATCACTCAAATGACTCCAGAGGATATCCCCAGCCTTGATGTCATCACCCGAAAATTTCAGAGTCACCTGGTGAGTGGCGCTCCCCATTTCCATTGCACACTCTAGGTGTTTGTAGCTGATATCAATCATGTCTTTTTTTAGGCTAAACCTTCTTTGCCCACTGCTAAACTGGATCAGGAGGAGGACTCCCACGCCAGCTCAGAGTCCCAGGTGGACCCAGCTTTCCTGGGCCCTACTATGAATGTCCTTTGTGGAGAGGTTCCTCTGTACTACATTTAGGGACCATCCGGTGAGCAAGGGGATAGAGGCAGAGTTCTTGGAGGGTACTGATAAATTGAACCAAGAGAACTGTGGAAAGCATGACATTATGTCTGTGTCTGCCAAGGGGCACTGAACTCAGATGAACCATACTGGGTAGAACTGGAGGAGGAGGATCATGCTCAGGAAAGCCCAGAAGTGGGGGTAGGAGTGAGGAGGAGAGTTGAGATTTTCATCCTCCCCCCTTCCTCTGGAAAGGAACCTTAGAAGTCATTAAGTCTAACTCCCCCTTTTTACAGATAAGGAAACTGAGACACAGAGAGATTAAATAATTGGCTGAGAGTAACACATCTAGTAAATACCTGAACCTAGGTCCAAGTGCAGGGCTCTATGTATTATGCCGAGCTGGCTCTCATGGTAACTTCCTCCCATGGTAACTAGTGTCTTTGCTTTCTAGGTTCTGGACTCCAAGGGGACAGAAGAAATCCTGCGTGGTCCCTGAGTTTGAAGAAGGTTATAACTTGCAAAGAGAGAAAAGGAGGGGGAAGGAAGGTGGGGGTGAGGGGAAGATGTACTTGTGGATTCGGGGTGCTTATGCTACAAAAATAATAAAATTACTTTATGAGCTCCTTGAAAAGCTCTTATGAAAAACCTGAGTGAGTTCCTTCTTGCCGGTCGATCCACTACATCCCCTCGGACCAGGGCCGTGGGGATTTAGGGAGGAAGGAATGGCGTTCTAAGGTAGGACTGGGAAAGATGGTTGGCAGATAGCAGAGAGCAGAGAGCTGCTCCCTCCGCTCCGTGGAACGTGACTCCTTGTCCCAGACACGAGTGGAGGGAGTAGCTGAGACTTGGGGAGCGATCAGCGAGGCTGTAGCGCCCTCCAATGGCTATTTCAGGAACGGCCTTTCTCCGTGAAAAGAGGACAAGTTTAGGAGAGACTGAGAAAGAGAAAGAAACCAAGAGGGACCGAAGACAGAAAAAGAAAGAGACCCAGACGGAGAGACATATAGACAGAAAGGAAGTGAGGGGGAAAGAGACAAGGAGACAGGGGGAGAGACACACACAGACATATAGAGAAAGACAGACACACAGGGAGACAGACATACAGAGAGACAGAGAGAGACAGAAAGACGGCGCTGGGGGCAGAAGAGAGAAGAAAAAGAGAAGGAGACAGAAAGAAGGGGGAGAGAGAAAAGAGGAGAATTTCTGCAGGGGCTGTGGCTGGAGGTGAGGGGGTTGCTTCTTTTTCTGGGACAAAGTCTCAGGATTCCTTGGCACCCCAGGGACACCCCACAGAGAAACCCAGCCACTAGGAGGCACCCCCAGAGCTTCCACCCCACAAATAAACTCCATACCGGGGCCACATCGCGCTGTTTTTCTCCACCTCCCGCGCCCCACGCGTGCCCTTCGGTGCCCGGGGCTCTCTGGTCTCCCAGGCCTGCGCGGGTGGAGCCAGCAGTAGCAGCAACTGCAGTAGTGGTGGTGGCGGCGGCAGCAGCCAGAACCCCCACCCCCCACGCGTGGAGAGGGCCCCCCTCCCGCTCCCCGGCGGGAGGGACCGCGACCGCCCGCGGGCCGGCTAGCTGCTTCCCCGCCTCCGGCTGGCCCCATTCCCGGGGCTGAGCACAGTCCGGGCCCCGAGGGGGGCTGAGCTCCGAGCGAAAACACGCCCTCCGGCGAGCTCATTTCCCTAAAAGAAAAAAAAGAGGAAAAAAAAGGGGGGGGGAGGAAGAGAGGGAGAGAAAAGCAAGGGCCGGAGAGGGAGAGAGAAGGGGGAGAGAAATTGAGAAAGGGGGTGGACGGGAAGAGAGGGAGGAGGAGAGGAGGGGAAGAGATAGGAGAGGAGGGAGAGAGGGAGGGGTACAGAGAGCCGGAGAAAGGGAGGGAGAAAAAGAGAGAGAAGGAAAAAAGATCCCTCCCTTCTCCTTCCATTCCTCCTCTTCCCCTCCTTCCTTCTCTGCTCGCTCGGGCTCGGCCCCGGCCCCGGAGTCGCATCCCCGCCAGCATGCCGGGCTTAGCCGCTCGCCCGCCCCTGCTGCTGCTGCCGCAGCTGCTGCTGCTGCTGCCGCTGCTGTCCCTGCTGCTGCTGCTGCTGCCCCCTCGCCCGGCCCGGGCGCTGGACTTGGCCGATTACACCTATGACTTGGGGGAAGAAGAGGACCCCGAGCCCCTAAACTACAAAGACCCCTGCAAAGCCGGTGAGTGACCCCCACCGCCACCACCAGGGGATGGGGGGGGAGGAGCGGGCAGGCCTGGAGCTGGTGGGGGGGGCCGACAGTGAAGGTTGTGGGGGGGTGAGGGTAGTATGGGAGAGGAGGCAAAAGGATCCCTGCCACGCCACGGGGTCTATTAGGGGTTCGGGTTGGGGGAGGACAGTCCAGTGTGGGAAGCCGAGCCTGCCTGGTTGGCAATGCAGCGGGGAACAAAAGAGAGAGGGAGAGAGGGAGGGGGAAGTTTGGGGGACTTCTAGGACAGAAGTTTTGCTGCTGCCACCGCTGCCTGTTGCTGCTGCCTGCTGCTATTTCTCTGATTCCAGGAGAGGATTCCTAGGGAAATCTCCCTGAATCCAGGGAGGGCAGCCGCTGGCAGTTCTTTTTTCTACCCACTGGAAATTTTTTTGGCCACACTTGTGTATGTGTGTCTTCGCCCCTGTGCAGTTTTTCCTTACTTTCCATTCCCCCCCGGCCCCCCCCCCAATCTCCTCCTCTGGAGCTGTAGAAGTTTTCCAGTCTATCTCGATGGCCCTTTGGGCTGCCGGGTTGCTAGTGGGAAGGAGGAGGGGTGGGGAAATCCCTAAGGGCCTAATCGGGACAGGCCCCTGACCTAAGTGGGAGAGGAGAAATTTTTAAATGAATGGGGAGATTTCTGGTTTCTCTTGTTGCTTCGGATTCTTTGGGTGATTGTAAGCCCACACCGTGCTGGGGGAGACTGGTTAATCAGCTGTCAAAATCAATGAACACAAGGCAGAGAAGGAATTAACCTTTTCCCCCCACACCAGGAGCAGGCTCCCAGCACCCCCCACCCCTAAGGCCAAGTTGGTGGTGGGGAAAGGGAAGGTACAAGGAGAAGTGAAATCTTAAATATCCACTTTCCTACCCCATAGGGGCAGGAGGTTAATTAGCAGAGGTCAAGGTCCTGGAGCTGAGTGCTGAGGTGTGTATACTGGGGGTGTGTGGTCCCACTGTGGCTCATTGGAGAGTGCATTTAACCTTACCATCCGAGGGTCCTGCCCTAGGAAGATCCAGATGGCCAGGCCACAGGGCCATTTATGTCATAGGAAGTCCTGGAACAGGGTTGCCTGGGGACAAGGAGCCACCCAGAACACAGTGATAGCTGGGCTTTCTGATCCAGGATCCAGATCTCTGCAAAGGCATTTGGGGTGGAGGGTGGGGGATGAGAGGATGGTGTAGAGTGATGGAAGAATTCTCAGGGCAGGGGCAGGTAGGTGGTGAACTGGACAAAGTATGGGTCTTGGAGTCAGGAGGGCCTGAGTTCAAATATAGCCTTAAACACTTACTAGCTGTGTGACCCTGGGCAAGTCACTTAACCCCCAATTGCTACACACAAAAAAATAAAACAAAACAAGAATTCTCAGGGCTGGGTGAATCTGGGCCCTGACACCTGGGGGTCACTTGTTCTTATAGGGAAAATGGCCTCCTTCTAATGACTTATACCAATCTCTCCAATTCACTGAAGCTGCTGCCCTGGCAGGCTTCCTGGTGGAGGTGGACCACTGCAGAGACAGAAGGTCCCTAAGACAGAAAAAGGAGCCAGGTCATTTTCCCTACTCATCAATGTCCATGTCTGCCTTCAGTTCTAAGCCAGAATCCTTTATTGACCTCAGTTCAACAATTCAAGAAACATTTGATAAACGCTTTCTAAGTACAAGGTGTTGTGCTGATTGGTGGGGGACACAGAGCATTTGTTTATTTGGATGGTTGGTTGGTTTGGTTTTTTAAATGGCATAGTCTGAGTTCTCAGGAGTTTACAGCCTGGTAAGAGAGGATGAGACCTATACATGCAACTCATGATATAAATAAATAGGAGAGGCCCAGATAGTGGCTCCCGGAATATTCTTCCTAATCTCCGTACTCAGTATGTTACTCCTACTCAAAAAACCTTCAGCAGCTCCCCACTGTCTACTAAATAAAGTATAAAGTTCCGATCCTGGAATTCTAGGGCTTCTTTGGGCTCCAATCTGCCTTTCTCTCCAACACCCTTAATTCTTTACTCTACTCTATGGTCAGACTGGAAGCCTCTTTAGTCCTCATTCCTATTCTGTCTTCTCCAGCCTTGCCCATTAGAATAGAAGCTTATTGCCAGTGGGGATTTTTTCATTCTTTGTACTTGTATCCCCATGGCCTCAAATAGTATCTGGCATTTAGGAGGTGTTTAATAACCTCTTGTTGATTGATTGATTTGCTCATACGATACCTTGCGTCTGGAATGGATTTCCTACTTTTCTAATTTCAGTCAGTTAACTGACTCCACCTCAGCCTCAATAGCCAACTTGGGTGCCTCTTCCAGGAAGCCTTCCCTGATCTCTCCCTCTTCATTAATTTCCTCTCCCCCCTATCAAGTAAAAGTGGTTGCTTAGATTTTCTTTGTGTAGACTTCTCCATTGCCCTTTATTCTTTGTGCTCATATCTTCTGCATCTATCTAATTGTAAATGCCTTGAGAGCCGGGCTTGCATTGTAACTATCTTGGTTATCACAGTGCCTGGTACATACTAGGTGACAAATGTTAATCATGTTTGTTGAATAAAAGAGAAATTTGAGAAGAACAAGATTGCTTGTAGAACTTACACTTTATGTCATTATATTTCAGTCCCTTCCCCTCTATACTTTCTGGGAAGAGGGTGGAAAGTGGGACAGGTAGAGCATAGTTGGTAAAGGACAAAATCAGGGTCCATGTCTCCCCAAAGGAGTTTGTGTCCCCTTTCTTTGAATAAATGGATATTTCCTGAGCATCTACTATGAGCAGGTCTGATGGAATCACAAGTTCTGGCAGTTACCAAAAATGTGTAACATGGAGTTTCCTGACATCATAGAGCTTAGTCTAGAAGGGATACGAGGCATACGTGTATAAAATATAATTACTAATATATGTAGCCTGTAAGCTACCTGTCAGATGTACAAAAATAAGTGGTACCTGTCAGATGACAGAAAGATTAGAGTGGGCTGGGGGAATATGTGACCTTTGTGAAGTCACTGAATTTCTCTGGTTTCCTTATCTGTAAAATGAAGGGGTTGGAATAAATTATTTCTAAGGTCCTTTCCACCTTTAAATGTGGGGAGGGGGAGAGGAAGAGGAAGCATTTATTAAGCATTTTATGAATATTATCTCATTTGCCTGTTTCTATTATTTCCTTTCTCTGTGGCTCTTCCACTGCAGTGGAGTCTAGACTTAGGTCCCCAAGCTCCAGTGATATGGGTCTGGTGGTGAGAGAAATGGGCACTTGAAGCAACTGCTTGCTTCAGAGAAAGCTGAGGGGACAGCCCCCAGGCCATAGAGATGGTCTGGTTATA